ATTTTTTCCTGTCTTGCATAATTTTACACAGCCGAATTGCATATTTGTGCAATGCGATACAAACAAACGAAAATTCAAAGGTGTGAAGTCATTCATAACATTCATTTTCCCTCTACTCATAAACTAGTTTTTAAGTATTATTTTTGAAAAATTCGTTATATTCGAAAACTATCAGAGGTTCGTTGGAAAGCGGGTTGTTTGAGAAAAACAGATACTTTGATTGCCGTAAATATTTCTTCTATTTTAGGGTTTTTGGAAAGAGAAAACCGAATATTGACTACGTCAAAATTATTTTTCACATTACATGGTGTGAGTACTTTAGAAAATGAAATACATAATTTGTTACCGAAAGGCGTAGGACTTGACCATCTGTCAGTCACGGTGGAGCAAAGGGCGAGCACAAAGTTCATCCGTTCCTGTTTTTCAGCTTGGTCTCTCTCCACGACTTCTTGACTGTCCTAACCTTTCCGAATGATCGTCTCCACATTTACTTCGATCATACAATCTTGCTGGTTCCATTATCGCACTTTTCTCGAAGGCGCTGCCCCTTTTTTCTCAGTGTATTTCCTATCCATTTCAATTTTATTTTATGTGTGGTGATTAGTGACTGTTAGTAGATGATTATTCGGAAATAGTGAGATGCGTTCGGGCGTGACGTAGGTTGTAGAAAAACATTTCTTTATCGTACCAACGTTTCGATCTTTTTTGAGATCATCTTCAGCGCCTAGGATTTACAAACATTGTTTAAACATAACAAATATATGTAGGATGTGGAAAAAGTGGAAAAAAGTGAAATTATACAATGCAAAAAAATATGAATATACAATGAATATACGAGAAGAATATACAATGTTTGTAAATCCAAGGCCCTGAAGATGATCTCAATAAAGATCGAAACGGTGTCCCGATAAAGAAAATGTTTTTCTCAAATTCCTATCATCGTATAAATGAATTAAATTCACTAATTTCGTGGTCCGCTTGACCAATTAATACATTACAATTAATTAAGGTTTTTAGTTGAGATAAAAAACTTAATTATTTGTAATTTTATTTTATATTTTTCAGCACGTGTGGTAAAGCTGGTCGGTTCTTTTCCAGAGCTGTATATTGTTTATTTTTTCAGGTCACTATATTCCGAGAATCCGCCGCAGGTTGCAGTTCACAAAAACCTAGAAAGCCGTCGTCAGGGGATCAGATCCGTATAACAGAAGAGGTTTGAAATTCGTGCTGAAGACCTGAGGTTGACTGGAGATGGTTTTGTTTCTCCATATCGGTTAAAATTGTATAAATACACAATTGGCTTTCCTAATTCTACTATTCATCGTTAATTTAAAATCCAATTGCACCATTGTTTTCAGCGTAACTATTTTTTTAAATGATGTGTCAGTATATATGTAATGGAAATTTTGAGTTGAACAGGGCCTGTGGTACTCCATGTAATTTTTTCTCCAAAAACGGTAAAAATTTGAAACTACATAAAAAAAAATATTTTTTTTTTTTTCGATCGCGTCATTGGTTCAAGAGTAATTCAGCCGGGTCATCCAAAAAGCACAATCTGTACGGAAAAGCGAAACTCAGCCATCATTTTAAGTATAAAAAATGTATGTATTTATGATTTCTTCCATAATAGTCAGTTAATACGCATACCAGGGGGCGTCGGTGACCGCCACGGTTCACGCGTTGACACGGCGCTCATCACTGTAAGGTGAAGGTCCCGGGTTCGAATCCAGTGGCCCTGCATTCGAACTCGACATACTTACAAATTGGCTTTTTTTTCAAAAACACCGGCACCCCGAGGTTAATATAACCTCTGCTGTTGCGAACCCTCGTAAAAAAAAATAAATAAATAAAAAATAAAAAAATATTAATACCCACATTTTTTAAAGCATTCACCGGTATTTTGATTAATACAAAAGAGTATTTTCACATTTTATAGTTGAAATACAACGTCGGAATTAATTTGTAAAGGAAAATCCATTCATTATTCATGCTATATTCCATATTTTTATGCGATAATATACCGCCCCGTTAAAATTATTTATTTAAACCGTCCAGACAAAACTTTTATTTCGAGATAGTAGAAAAAAGTTCAGTTTTTCTCTAATAGTGGATAGTGGGAAGCGAGAACGCCGGTAACGAATGCAGTTAACGAGGGCTGATTGTGGGGGAGGAAGCCACCTGAGACCCTGTTGAATTATTAATGCCTATTTAATTATCAGCGGCTCAAATGTAAATCCCATCCCTGCTGCCCGACAATTACTCTTCGGCCCACAGAAACAACGGTCACAAAATATACAGGGGAGAGCATAATTTTTCCTTTAGCCCAGTACCACAAGTCCGTTGGACGGTATTATAACGGTTTAAAGTATTGCAACCTAACATCCAAGCGTTTAAACCGCCTAGTCTGTATTTTTACCGTAGAAGATAATTAACTAAGCCTTACTGATTAATTAAGACTATATGTAATTTTTTATAACAAACATTTATAGATATTTCAAATATTATAATTGTTATATTTCACGGATTCAAAAATCGGGAATTTCGTTCGATCATTTTATTTAGGTTTTATTTAACAGAAGGTTGAAGTCGAAAAAAGAAAAAAGAAATTTTTAAATTTATATTGGTTACTTACAAATTCAACATAATTAACATAATAAAATATTTAATGATGGGTAGATTTGTCGTTTCAGAACATTTCAGTCTATTTTTTATCCGTTTACATATTAAAAATAAAAATAATATAAAATTACATGGAAACTCTGTACTCTCACGGCGAACATACCTTCCAAGATGTCCCTATTTGATGTTAGTAAAAAAACATGTTTGGTCAATATACATTATTGTAAATATCCAGCTGTGTAGCCCCTTTGCTCAGATATTGAGAAAATGTGTTTATTCCAAAGGTTTTATTTATACATTTTATTTAATGATTTACATTTTTTTTTACAATGCTTCAGAATATACACCTTTTTTGTTTTTTCTATGTCAGATATCGATATAAATTGCCCGTGTAAGAAACGTTTTTCCCGCGAATTTAACAACACATCTTTACGTTTGTACTTGCGTTTTATTAATTGTTATTGAGAAAGATAGAACAATAGAAAATTGTAATTTCTTAAATATCATGGCAAATTCGTTGGAACCATTGGAATCCTAGTTTTAAACTTGTGTAACATTATAAGATTCCAATTTTTTTTAAGAGGTTTCGCAATAGCAGCGGTTTTTGAAAAAAGCCCATTTGTAAATATGTCGAGTTCGAATGCAGGGCCGCTGGATTCGTACCCGGGACCTTTACCTTACATTGATTAGCACCGTGTCAACGCCTGAACCGTTGCGGCCACCGTCGTCGCTCGCAAATTTTTAATTTGGTACAGTTTGGCGGAATTCCTGGAGGTTTTAAACAATGGAAAAATTCTTGTTGATAATATACCTCGTCTTCTATGTCTTTGACAGTATAGATACGAGATATGCCTGGTAGCTTTTGCAAAATAACTTCATTTCATCATCCAGGTTCACATATCTAGGAATGACTGGTTTGGAGCAATTTTGAAGATTCCTAATTTTAAAAATTAATAAATTATTTATGAAATTCATAAATTAATTAGATGCTAATTAGTAAAGATGGAATAAATAGTCAATATAAAATAGTTAGAAAAATATAAGTTATTAAATGAAATATTACGCTGAGCTGCCTTGGCTTGCCATATGCACAATAACATGATTTCATATCTTTACTTGATACTGCTATAATAACATGATAAAACTATGTCTATGTCCTTTCTATGATTATAAAGAATTCATCTAAAAAATTGATCACCATCGTACCAGTAGATTTTGTATTAATTTTTACATCCGAACAAATTTCTTTTTTATATTACTATAGATAAATATCTAAAATAATGTAGGGAACTATGTAATAATATAAGAGTGTAATAACTCTTTTCATATTTTTTATAAAAATTCATATATGTTTAGCGGTCCTAATTGTCCGTATTAATTATTTCAATTAATTATTCTTTTTATCTAAAGTCTTGTTTGAAATTAAATGGATTCGTATCGAAGGTTCAGCCGAAGGTCGTGTGTTCGAATCCTGCTCGTGACACTAACTTTTTCAATTCAAGTAAGACCTTGGATAAAAAAAATAATTCATTTTTTATAATAAAACCATAGGATAATGTGCAAAAAAATTTTGCTTTTCATCAAGAAGAAAAAAAGATGAATTATAAACATCTAAAATAATGTAATAAACCATATAATGGAATGAGAACTAGCTGAATAGTTAATAGCTCTTTTCGTTTAATTATTGAAGAATAAAATTTGGAACCGTTTATTAAAACTAAATTATGTCAATTTGTAGACAGCTTTAGGATTGTTTTGTCTTAACCTTAAAATTGGTCGAAAGCTTGGCAGATAGCAACTGATTTTTTTTTACATCCAGACCATACACAGGCCCAAAGTATTCATTAATGATTTTTAACAAAAATGACTTACTTCACATATCCAGAAATTTCAATGATTGGGTGATAGAAAAAATGGTAAAGTATATATTTACAATTTGATTTGCTATACCAAATTATTTTATTTTTTTAATAATACAATAATCTTACATAAATTGTTCTAAGCTCTAATAATATATACATTGACTGTTAAAAAGTTAATCACATTAATTTAAAAAAAAATCAATTATGAAGAATGCAGAAAAATATATATTTATGTTCGTATTCTTAACTAAAAGTTTCCTTTGTCTAAATATGAACGAATTGTACACATTCCTGTCAGTAATAACAAACAATTTAAACTCAATTCATCTATATTACAGAAATATTTACAAGATAAAACCATTTGTATAAAATAACGACAAAAACTTACATTAAATTTGATAACTGCATTTATAAATATATTTTCATAGTGGATATGAGTTTCAATTTCCATTATAAAAAATTGTATTTAGGTGTGTTCAAAAAGAGTACACAAATTTCATTTAATTTAATAACTTGTTGAGTTAGTCAGATTGTAACACTTTATCTCACTATTTCCAAACAGTCATTCACTCGATTTTGGGATCAAATTGATTTTTTATTTTTTTATTTTTTACTTTTTTATTTAAGGGAGGGACATTCTAAAAGGATTGACACAAATGGACGAGCACGACCAAGGAAACGCCTTTGGGTTTATTTCAATTACAACAATTTCTTTTTATTATATATTTTTTGTTGGAAACCATACAGTCATTTATTCGAATTAAAAAAATTAAATTAAAAAAACCATATTCGCTATCATTTATCTAAACGTCGGCAGGGAGGATCCGGTGGTATACAGGGTTGATCCCGTGGATTTGAGCAATGAGAAGATTCGTACGCTCGCCACTCGAGAAACTCGCCTCGGGATCAATCGCGAGACGGCGCGGTCCAGAGGTCGCCGTCATAGCGCTGGATCTGCCGAAGGGCGAACGTGTGGTGTCAGACGGTCGTCTCGAGGGCGACGACGCTCTGTCAACAGAGGCTGTCTTTTCCGTCCATGTACAAATCCTCGGGGTTGGGCGCGTACCTGGAAGAAGGGATGCCGGGATTCGCGGACCTGCCGTTCTTCTTCTTTTTATTCTTCCTCGCTTGCCGGCACTTAAAGCAGGCCGTTATCATAATGAGCAGCGTGAGCACTAGCAGCGCGACGCCCCCGATTGCCAGGTACAGAACTGGGATTCCGAACTGGAACGCGCAGTTCGTCTCCTCTTCGTCGAAACCTGACGGGCAGTGACGGGCACCGTCGCACCAGAGGGCTGAGCTTATACAAGCATTCAATTCAGGACACCTGAAAATAATTAATAAAATCAATAGAAAGAGTAAGCCATTTACAAAAATTTTAGAATCACTTATGTAGGAATATTGATAATAGGTAAGGACTGTAAATGTTGTCAGAGGAATTCAAAACACTTTAAAATATTTTAAATACTATAGTGGATTTTTTGTAGCTTGATCTTGCTATATCTTTCCTAAAGGGAAAAGTATAGTTGTTAAGGGTGGTTCTATGGATTCTTGATTATGGAAGCGGCAGGTTTTTCTATACCCCACAATTCTACGTCTATATTGGTTTCACTGTTGATTGGTATATGAGTATTTTGTTGTCTAGGGAGAGTTTAAATCAGTTTCTTTTAGTGTTTTAATTAATAGGTATCAGTTTTATACTTTTTAGTCGTATCTAAGGATTCCAGGTGAGTGGTTTGTATGTACAGGGTGTCCCAGTTCCTTCTGACGAAACTCAGGGAATCGATTCTACTCTTCGTTTGGAGCAAGAAATGCTCAGGAGAAAATTTTCGGAAAGTTCTCTATTTTGAAGATATTCGTCAATTTAGGTTTCTTCAACTTTTCATTACCTTACCGCATAAAAACGCTTACAACTTCCAAAATGTTGAGACTACAACAAATCCAATTGCACCATTTGAAAGAACGCTAAATTTTCTGTAAGATACTTCTTTGCAATAACCTGAATGACATAAAATGTTAGCCAATATCAGTTAGAACATGTCAAAATTACAAAATTTAAAATTTTGACCATGATTGCACGTTCTACTGAGGTTACAAAAAAATACCTACAAACCTACAACTTGTCAAATTTTACAAAAACATCTTCATCTAATATGATTTACGTTGATATATCCAGGTTTTTAAATAACGTTCTAGTAGGGTTGAAAAATAACAATTGAATGTTCGAAAACGTGAGCTAAAGTAAATTTGAATAACGTTATAAAACCCTGGATATATCAACGTAAAGCATATTAGATGAAGAAGTTTTTGTAAAATTTGACAAATTGTAGGTGTTTTTTTGTAATCTCAGTAGAACGTGCAATCATGACCAAAATTTCAAATTTTGTAATTTTGACATGATCCAACAGATATGGGCTAACATTTTTTGTCATTCAGATTATTGCAAAAAAGTATCTAAACAGAAAATTTAGCGTTCTTTGAAATGGTGTAATTGGATTTGTTGTAGTCTCAACATTTTGGAAGTTGAAAGCGTTTTTATGTGGTAAGGTCGTGAAAAGTTGAAAAAACCTAAATTGACGAATAGCTTCAAAATAGAGAACTTTCCGAAAATTTTCTCCTGAGCACTTTTGGCTCCAAACGAAGAATCACCAGGAAATACGGGGAGGTTATAATACAGATAGAGGGAAGCGTCGGAAGGTGAAAGCTATTTTGAAGCATTCTTCTATGGAATATAGGGTTCAATGAAGCATAACGGTTGGTGGAGAAAATGGCAGTTTAGTCAGGGTATGCTTGCTTAGTGGTGATACTTTAAAGTACTTGTCTAGGTACTTAACAATAAGGGCGTTTGGAAAGGCTAGGTACATTTGAGTTCCGAGTAACAGTCCTTCTCCTCAACACGATGGTTTTATTGTACAGTCGAATGTTTCAGCCTGCATCCAAATGATGGTTGGGCAGTATCTTCAACGTGTTTGGTAATGATGTTGGGATGAGAAAGGATATCAATAGAGAATGTACACTAACGGTCAAAGGACGCCACCGTACAAAACAATGACAGGATCTCACCTGAGGAACTGTCGGTCATATAGGACTTAACGGTGATGAAGTGTGTAAAGGATAGGATGTCTTAGAGTTGGCAGGGCAAACAAGGTCCAGACCCGAACGAAAGCCCGTTCAGGATCGAAAAGACGCCAAGCAGCATTCTTTTAAGGGAGTGCAACTGTTAATTGTTATATAGTAAAATTATGACGCTTGAATTCAAATTGATGGTCCAGACAATATTGGAAGTAAACAGATGGGCCGGGATGCATTTAGGAGGTGATATGGTTAGATGAGAAAAGACTAAATTTTTCAGTTTTAAGAATACAACATTGGAACATTAAATAATAAAAAATGTACCTGTAAGGGCAGTCGATTGTATTTGAAGACATAACGAAAGACGATGTGGCCGTTAAGAGAGGACGTTTCGATACTTCCATCCACGAAACGGAGTAACTCCCCGGCTCCTGTTCCAAAAACTCCACTACGAAGGATCTCGTGTTGGGATGAAGTATGGAAATGGACGAACTGTGGTTCCAGCCATCCGAGAAGACCTCGACGACGGTCTGCGTGTTCACGGGAAGACCTTCCTGGGGGCAGACTACTTTCGGATCTCTCGTCTCTATCCCGGAGTAGACGATTATCCTGTTCGAGGTATGACAGCGAACCGAATCGCTCCGCCACCTGTTGGAAGGTAGTTCTCGGCCTCGCACCTTAAGGTACAGGAAGTTGTTTGTGTTGTCTTCCGGCTCGATGAGCCAGGGGTGGGGATGACAGCCGACGTTGAGCGGATCGACGACCACGTTTGAGCTCAGCTTCTCAGCGAATATCTCGTTGACGTCGTCGTTTTTCTTCGAAACCGGGCCCTTTAATATTATATCACCTGAAGAACCACGAAGACGCCTGGCTGTTTTGTATTTTATACAGCTTTCCACTTCTTCGTCCGACGTGCTAGAAACAAACTGGTACTCCCCTTCAAAGTTGAAGTGGTTGAAATCTTGGGTTATGTTCATTAGCGTGACTGTAAAATTAACTTCGACGGTGGACGAAGTTAACGTCGTTATAACCAGAGGATCGGAAAGTTTCGAGCAAAGGCAATCTCGTGGAATTTGCACCCCTGGCCAGGGGTATTCGGATATCCATAGTTCGGCGATTCCGGTCCCGTTCGCTTTTGAAAGTGTGTGAACACATCTCCATCTTCCGGTTCGGGCGTCTTGTTGCGTGGAACAGGACCTGCTCCCGAATTTCGCCCTCGTCAATGTAAGCTGAACACGTTCTCCTAAAGTTGGTTCGAATCTCATGATGCAGCTGAGATTGTGCGCCCCGCCTCTGCCGTAGTAGAAAACGCTCCTCGGCGACTGGAATTTGCCACTGGAGGGCGAGGTGATGGAAGAGGTGAACACCCTGTCGCACGGATTGTCCGAACCTTTGACGTGCGAACCTTCAAGCATTGTGTCCACGAACTCGTACCGGACCATGAAGTCCAATGGAAAGAGGACCGAACCCTGCTTTAAAGTTTGTTCCAAAGTCAATTCGCTCCCCGACGAAACATAACTCTCAGATGGGGAGCACGGCCTCGTAAATCTCGAACTGTTGCTTAATAAAGTGTGATCGCACAGTCTGGGCACTTCGTCTTTACAAAAGTCTCCTAAAAGGCTCACGTTCATCTGCAATAATAAAGTTATTTAGCACTAAATTATTTTGTTATATTAATAAAAAGTGTATTATCAATCTAACAATGGGAGATTATTTTCAAATTGCACAAAAAATACGGAGGCTTAAAAGATGCTAGTTTACTTAGCTATACAACTTAAATATTGGAATGCGTTTTCATTTTAAATGTTTATGAAAATTTTGAAAGTGGAATTAGACTTGACGTGTTCCAAAGTTGTCCATCCAGCGCCAAAGTTAGACCTGGGGACATGCAACTGTTTTCGTCCCTATATTCATACTTTCAATCAATATTAATTACTTTTGTAAATGTTTTCCTTTTATTCGCTCAAGTATGTTGATGGAAAAATTGATATTTCTCTATCTCACAACTAGACTAATTTGTGGAGGGGGTGGATGAAATCGTCCATATTCCGCTGCCACCCATGCTATAATAATAAATATATTTAATGGAGGCAAGTTAATGAGGTTAACATCCGGCTACGGCTAGAATTAATCTCAACCCTTGGGGAATAAGCCACTAGTGTTATTGCAATTTACCATTGCACTAAAGAAATAAAAATGCTGGATAAACAACAAACTACGCCCCGGTTACTCTGACAGCCAGACACCATGATAGGCAAATACTTCCTTGGTAATTAAGCCCAGTGTCATTTGGAATTGCATTAATGCCCTATCAGAGATTGATAGCAAAAAAATTAACTTTAACTGGAAAGATGATCTGGTCATTTGATAAATTATGGGCAGTTAAGTTGAAAGAATAAAAAACTGGATAAACAACAAAATACAACCCATCTACTCTGACAGCCAAGCACCACGATAGGCAAGTACTTCATTGGTAATTAGGTCCAATGCAGTTTGGAAATGCATTAATGCCCTATCAGAGATTGCTAGCAAAAAAATTAACTTTAACTTGAAGGATGACCTAGTCATTTGCTAAATTATGGGCAGTACATTAGAAAGAATAAAAATGCTGGATAAACAACAAAATACTACCCATCTACTCTGACAGCCAAGCACCACGACCTTGTCATTTGCTAAATTATATGCAGTCACGTTGAAACACATAGCACAGTATGAAAGATCACAACTTCCTTTAGTATAAACACAGATGTGTCAAAGTGTGGAAGAGCATGTTTGCAAATAAAACTTCCAAAGTGAAACGGCAGTTTGATATCGATGATACCATTATCATACAAATGAAAATTTTAGGAATTGAAAAGTGTTTGTAAAAATACTCGACAGAAAAAAAAACAGTTATGTCGACCTAATAATCGTTGAAAACTCGTGCGAGGACGGATAAATTTGTTTACCCGATCCAACAGTTTAAACATACATTGTGAAAAAAAGATAAAATTGTTATGTTTTTATTTGTTATCAACAGTAAATTGATTAATTGGAAATGTCCAGTTACAAAAATTATACGAAAAAAAACTAAATCTACCCGTAACTATAAATCTAATATTCTACGAAATGGAAAGAAAGTAATCTTAACCAGATGTAAACGGCTTAATCCACAGTTTGAGTTATTGGCGGTGTCAACTCGGTTTTAAAATAATACGACTATGTACTTTTTCACGACGGTTAATATTGCAAAAGCACCCCTTATTTCTTTTTCAAGTAAAATTATTAAAACTGATAAAATTTGCTCTCTATATGGGGCTAGAGAATTTTATTGTACGTAGGGTTATTTTGGTTATATAAGTTATAACGGTTACCTGCTGTCCTGGTATAGAAGTGATTCGTCCGTCCCATATCCTGAGTCTTGCATTGCATTCTGCGCTGAGCTGATACGCCGCCGGGTCAGCTGGAGCGGCGTGATATTTAACGAAAGACAGCCAGACAGTCTCGTGCCTCCTGCCCTGGAAATGGTATCTGCAGGTCGTATTGGGCGGAAGAGAGTGCTTCGGGTTTTCCAGTATGCCCCAGGCCGAGTCGAAGCTGGTCAGGAGGATTTCGCAGTGGTGAACGTCCCTCACGTAATGGTGCGACCTCGCCTCCACAAACAACACCTGCGACAATTAAACGAGGGTACGGCTGTAATTAAACGACGCCACGACGAAATTAGAAATAATAAGCAAACAGGCAGGGGCGCGGGGCAGGGGACACTGACCTACTCCCCTGTTGTTTGCATTCGAATTAGAGGCTTAGCATGTTTACGTCGACTGAGCTTATTGCGACCAAGTTTCCGCAACAAGACGCACCATGAACAGAAACTTTGAAGAAAAACATAATGTAAATAAAAAGAACTCTCATTTTAATATCGCAAAATACACAGCAAGAAAAACGACTTTTAATGACTTACCACAAATAACATCCAAACAAATGAAATTCCTGTTGTTTACTTTACGTTTTATCGATACGTTCTTCATAAAACCTCCAATACAAAAATGCATGGGGGAGAAACAAAATGTAGATTTTTTAACTTCTCCCCGAATTTAATAGCGAAAAAATCAAGTAACCATTTTATTAAGTTAAACGAGTTACTGTTTTATTGAAATTCAAAACACCACCAATTATCAACGGATAGACGGACAAAGATGGTAAAAATCGAAAAATTAATATTTAATACTTTTGAAGAGCTACGAAAATTCGCTCAAGAACAAATAATCTTAAAAAATTAACGTTTATATGTTTAATCTAACAACAGCGTTTTTACTGCAGTAGAAATACAAGTTACATTCCTGAAATTGTAAAAAAGATTCTAGATACCCCGCCACAAATTTAAATAGATTGAATAAAGATAGCAAAATAAAAAGAAAAGGAGGAAGCAAGTTGTCTAATTAAACAGCTTTATTGTAAAATATCTCTTCTCTAATTTGTTATATTACAATTCGACTGAAGACCATTTAGAAAAGTTCTCTCTTTGTCGAACTGTTGGTCCAATACATGTTTAACCAAAAACATTAAAAAAACCAAGCCACTTTGGTCTGACGGGACTTTCAAAAGGCCATTGACACTGTCTGGCACAATCCATCCATCCAACATTCTGGTAAAAAACAAAATTTCCAATGTATTTGTTCAGAATTATTGTGTACGTCCAATATTGGCAGATCATCCTACTCATTCAACATATTCATCGGGAAACTCAAGGGTCTATTCTAAGGTCAAAAGTAAACTTAATATTTTTAAATGCCCGTCCCCGCTAAAATATTTGAAATTTAACTTGGTCCTTTAAACGAGTCGGCGAAGTTCCTCCTGGGGGCACACCGTTATAGCACAAAGTTTGATTTTTACCCAAAAACAATACATACATTTAAGATTGAAATGAAATGTTAATGGAACAAAAACTGAACCGATATTTTTTACAAGATGGTGACTGTCCCCTAACGAAAAATCAAGATGCGGTAAACGTCCCATGGGGTTCATGTGCAAAATACCAAGGTAAACTAGAACAAAACTTAACTTTAGTGCAAATGTGAAGGAAAAAAACTTAATACATAAAAATGTTTTCCTTTTCCTATAACAAGATGCATCTTAGAGAAAATAAAATAAAATTCACTAGTTTTCGTGGTCCGCCTGACCAATTAATATCTTTTAATAAATTAAGTATTTTAGTTGAGATAAAAAAGTCAATGACACGAGCAGGATTCGAACCAACGACCTTCGGCTATACGCCGCTACTCTACCACTTGAGCTATCGTGACTTTGATCCACTCGGACATTAACTTCCCATCTTAACTTCACATGGATCGAAGTCACGATAGCTCAAGTGGTAGAGCAACAGCGTATCTAGCCGAAGGTCGTGGGTGCGAATCTCGCTCGTGACATTGACTCTTTTATCTCAACTAAAAATCTTAATTAATTAATAAAATAAAATGACCATCTATAAAGCAAACGTGAAACTAATGCTGTTGTACACTTGTTTTGTTTGGTGTTACACTTGCGACAAACATGAAGACGCTTTAAAAGGCACAAAATGAATTTTTAATTAAAATTAATTAAGGTTTTTAGTTGAGATAAAATTGTATTGAATAATTAATTGTAATATATTAATTGGTCAAGCGGACCACGAAATTAGTGAATTTAATGAATTTTTAATGCTCGCAACATCTTCTTCTCGATATTCGACACACACGGACCTCCAACATATAGCTGTAAAACAAGACATTACGTAAGTCATAATGCAAAAGGCACATAAATTCTTTCCAATAAAACACTATTGTGAAAACTTAATTTGTGCGTTACTTTTTATCTACCGCACATTGAATTTAGCAATGTCAGACATAAACATATTTTATGTACCCGAAAGCTGTCCTATTTCACAATTTCGCTCGACCACTATATTTATTGTACTCCCTGCTTTATGTACATATTAGCATACTTAAAGAGTAAATAGGATGCTTCGAGAACAGACGTCAAAACCTGATTAGCTTAACATACATGTAAAATTCGACTAAATATTCCCACTCGTCCAAAATCTTGTTTTCAATTGTATTCCAGACATTTGGCTTTTCAGGCTAAGTCAACTTTTCACAACTTTATTCTATAAGGCCCCCATATCTAATAAAATGTTAACACTACTGAAAAATTTACCAATGGAAAGAACATTTAAAACCCTTTGAGATTCATCAGATGAGATTTGTGACAACGATCCACCCGGACACCAACTCGACATTTCAACCCTCAACCTTGTATTTTCATCTACTTACGATAATCTATAGTTATTTATGATCGACTGATAAATATATTTATATATTTAATTACTAGTATATTCTCTAAATATTCACCTATTTATGATTATCAATCTGTTATTACTAATACGCATTAAACGCACATTTTTAGTTTTTACCCTTTAACAAAATAAGGAAAAATGTATAACTAGATTTAGTGCACATTAATAATAGATGATAAAAGGATGTACTGGTATCATAATTTTTTATTTATTAACTATATATATTTTACGGTAAAACTGAAATTTTGAACTGTGAATATTCCTAAAAATTATTTTAATACAGCGTCAATCATAATATTAAATGAAAAATGTCAATTTTACGATTACGAGTGCGTTCGGAAAAACTCAACGATGGATTATCGTCTCACCCCCTATAAATAAACTTGAAGCATCCGCGCTCATGAAAATGGACTTCCGCTAAGCCCCCGGGCCGAACATTTTCTAGTGAGGTTTGGTAAATTCATAATGTATGGTCTAGTGAAACTTAGTTAAATGAAAAAGCTTTTACCCCCGGCGAGTTTGAGATGAATCTCAATTACTACTTTGGATCTGGAAACTTAATCTGCATTAAATATTCACAGCGTGTCATCAAACTGGCACAGCGTTAGATGTACAACTTGCTACTTTATGCAACATTCTGGGAAAGACGGGGTATAACAGTTTTAATTATTTTTAATCACGCCACATTTCAAAGCAAAACCCATATGGAGTGTGAATTATAGTTTGGAATTGGACTTTAACATATAAAATATACGTCAGTCCTATATTCACGGATCATAACTTCAATTTTAGAAAAAAAAAATTAAATAAAAGATATAAACTGGTCGTTGGTCTCTGAAACAAAGAAATTAACTAGAGTAATTGCGAATACGGCGCTTCGATCTTCTAAACCAGCACGACTTATCTGCCACGTTGGTTTTAATCTATTCAACCGTCTAAATATAATTTTGTACGTTAAGAATTTCTTCTCCGATATCACCATTTATTTTTTAGCCAACTCGGAATAAGTAGTGTTCACCATTCAGAGCGACCTAGAACCACCTTTTTTGTTTGGAAGCATTGTTCAAGTTATGGAAGAAAACCAAAAAAACAATTTTTTCCTTTCGCCATATCACATCTCTACGAATCGATTTACTGCAACTCTAGTCCTCTCTCAGCAACCAGTGTCAGCTGTTTAGGACTTTACATCGACAAAAGACTTACAATCGTCACACTCGACCCAAAAAAACAGAACTGAGGAACGTCCATCTCTAGGGTGAGAAAACAGTAAGAAATATTGAACATGGCAAGAAACGTTCTAACCAACAGCAAGGATAGACAGATCAAAGTTATTGGAAACGATCAAGCTACACATTTTTCACCATGCAGAAGAAAAAATAACTATCAGTATTTACTAAATCATAACATTCGATATATGTAAAACTTTTTATAAAGCTTACTTTTATTCCTTAAAAAAATCTTTCCATTTTGATCTATTTCACAAAAATAACCTTGACAATGTTTGTTTAATTAAATAAATAAAACCATATATCTATATATATATATATATATATATTNTAAACGATTTACACTAATGACCAGGCTTCTAGAAAAGCTCAATATAAACTTTGATCCCAATTAAATACATACATGTACGTATATATGTTTATTTATTTATAAGGTAAAATTAGTTTTCTCAAGCAACTTCCTCTCCGACACGTGATACAGGCTGACCACTACTACACTCTTTTTAAATTACACAGCACAACAAAACCACCTAACGAACTGTCTCTCTTGGGAACGTATAAATGAAGTTCCAAACAAAGAACGAGACCGTGTGACAATGTGACTAGAAAGTTGATGATTACAACTATTCTTCTCTAACTTACGTCTTTTTATTGCTTAGAAATACATTTATAAACTTTGAACTGAATGAAATTTTAATTTCGGGTAAGTAAATGAATTTTATAAATAGGTAAGACAGAATTTGACGGTAAGTACATAAGCCATTTCACTATGTTAAGCCTTCAACGTTGGCAGTCGGGATGAGAACTGAAACGCCTAATCCATTTCCAGTACGGATTTAGATTAATTCAGCTTAGAGGGGGATCAATCATTAAGTTAAAAGTTATCGAGGCAAGTAAATCGTCCGACAAGCGTGGCACGTCAAAGCGGGAGTTTGTCGGCTGGGTTGCTTGTTTTGAAAACTTGTTTCGGCTCGTGTTTCCGAGGCGGATTGCGGTGGCCGCAGCTGACTAACAGCTCGGTAGTCCGAGGGAACCTGGTCAGCGTGAAAGTTGGGAACAACACTCATAAAAGTCCCTGGAACGGACTTTCCCGTATAGATCAGTGGGCAGA